ATGAATAAAATTTATTTCGAATATAAATAGGTATGTAGTAACCAAATAGAAAATGTTCATTAATGAATAAAATCACATTTTATAGTATGGATGTTATACTTCCGTCGAAAATCTTTTATACCAATATAAAAATAAAAGCAATTGATTTAACTTCAGTAGACTAGTTGGCCCGTGTGAATAATTTGCAGAAAATTATCTTTAATGAAGGAATAGCAAAAAAAAAAAAAAAAAATGGAAATAATTAGATAATATGTATTATATAAGGAAGGAATTAACTGTTTTTTCAGGGTCGATAACAATATTCCATTTAACATAATAAACCTTTCAGAAGAGTCTATTATTATCTTATAAAAAAAAATAAGAAATTATTATTTTCTGTTCTTTTCAATTTTTTTCTAAACAGCTATTATTATTTTTAATCATTTATCATTTGTTTTATATATAGTTTTAAGTATTTTATACATAGTTTCATTTATTTTTTTTCGTCTTTTATGTATCGTCAGTTTACTTGAAGTTTTTTTTCTATTATAATTTTATAATTTAACAGATCTTCTAAGAAGTAATTAAATTATTTTTCTGTACCACTCTGTTATTCTAAGGGGATTTTGTCCTGGAATAAATTTATTTTTCTATATCTATTCATATTTCCAGTCTTGCGAAATTCCGATACATTCTCGAGTTTTTATATTTTTCTTTGTTGATGTGGTCATTTAAGTAATATTGTGTGCAGGGATGGTCCCCCTATATCCCTATAATATCAATAAATGATATACATGATTATTTTCAGTATTATTGTACATGGGGTATGAGAAATGCTGAATTGGACGATGCAGACAGTAATATGGAAACAACGCAATATTAAATAAAACAACTATTGTATTTTGTATTGTATTGTATTCATAACTTTCTACACTAAGTCACTACACACACTAAGTTCCTATCCATAAGTGACTACACCTTTCTTGTAAAATGGTTCCATGGAACGAAATAGGTTAAGAACTCAGATCTGAACATAGTATTCAAGAGGGTCGAGAAGCGACGAGGTACAGTTGACAATAGAAGTCACACTTACACAATGAACCTCCATAAAAAAAAGGGGTCACATACCTTAGTAAGTCAGAGCGAACCAAGTCTCTCTCTGTGGTTCAACAAAACCTCAGAACTAGTAGAAAACAATATTATAATCTACAATTTTTGATGATGTTATAATGTGATTGTCAAAGAAATTAATACAATAAATTATTTATCAATTTTATGCATTTGCTAATATCAGACTGAGTAATGCTGCAATATATTGACAATTTTGTATCTGGATAAAGTATTTTTAAGAGCCTTAATTCCTAGTTGTCTTCTTAGTTATTTTGCTTGGATTATTATTGTTTTTAATTATTCCTAAATATATAAGTTGACAATAATAAACACATTCTCACCATCCTCAAAGCTTCAGGATAATTTGGGAAGTTGTTTCTGAAATGTAAAAAATAATAATAATATATATATATATATATATATAAAGGGAAATATATCTGCAATAGATTATAGTTTACATCACATTGGTATAGTCTCATGACAGGTGCAGATGAAGGTATGGAGAGAGAAAAAAAAAATTAAATCTTATATTAAAAATATTAAATCATTCCTTCAAATACAATTTAATTTACAAAATTACAGCATCAAATATATGCAGTAACTTCCATAATCTATATTTTAGGAGTGCATGTATATACATACTTAGTAGTACAAATAAGTTTAAAAAAAATTATCTTTACTCACTCTCAGATGAAAATAAATCATTGAAATAACGGAGCATTGTAATGTGCTGTCAAATCTTTTTTACTATCGTTAACCTCAATAATAAACCGTAATACTCAATTTCATTTAATCATTATGTATTCAGCGTTTAGTGTAACGATTTGATTCTTAATTGTTTCCGATAGTTAAAAATACAATTTAATTTTTTTCAGTTTATTATTTAACCAGAATTACTAATTTCTTATAAAAGTTTTAATGAATGGTAGGAGTTCATAGTAAAAAATAAGTAAACTTAAAATCGATCGCTTGGCATTTATCTTATAAATTGTAAAACATATCTCAAGTCAATTTGAACAAACTAGAAACATTGTTTTCTTATGATTGATTGTACTTGAACTGTAGATGAATCAACTTTTTGTAGAGGTAATGTTAAAGAAACTTTTCACTTTTGGTAATTTTATTCATTTTGTTTTATAATGATTAATAAGTTGTCACATATCACAATGGCATGGATAGATAATTATAATTGTTATGCAATACTAAAAATTTATTTTAAGGGCTCACATCTAATTTTTTTAAAACATTTAATCCATTATGAAATATGATGATCAAGTTAAAAATGACTAAGTTCTGAATTACAAAATAAATGATATATTTTTCCTATATATCTTTGGAAATATCTTTGGGATATTTGAAATTTCCGGAAAATTTAAAAAATAAAGAAATAGGATAGATAATGTTACTTCGTATTATAATTGGCATAAATAAATAAAGAGTCAACATACATTCCTTTATTTAATTTTTTTCAGTTTTGAATGAAACATATCCCCTTACTTACTTTTTAAATTATAACCTATCCTTTCTACATTCCTGACCATATATTACTTATATGCTACACTTAATTATAATGTTGACAGCTAAAAACCCATAGATGAAAATTCCCATTCCATAAAATACATTTTCTCCTCTCCAGAAATTTCAAGAACATTTATCATATTTGGACTGGAACAAAGGTAAATTGCCTGGAATGTGACAGGCGGCGCGCGGTGGGTGGTCCTAATTGTTGATAACTCCTTGTCCCGCTTGTTCCAGCCAATGAGCGACGAATAACTTATCATTGGTGTAATTCTTATCAAGCTGTCAACCCCTAATAGCTCTATCTACTGGAGTGAGGGCTTGTTTCACCACCTGGAGTTTATTATAAGTACAAATTACTGGAGTAATGTGCCATGAAGCAATTACCTTTGGAATCCTCTTTCGTAATTGGATCACATATTATTCTACCCATTAGTTGGATGATACAATATTTTTAGGTGACTGAAGATTATCAAATTAAATAGTTTTTTAAAAAATTTAATCATATTTAATTTCAAATTTTAGAGTGCGTAATTTTCATGTTTTTACTAACTTTATGTGTTTGTTTATTATTTAATTTATATAATTATAAATATAATTATTGAAGGTAGGATGAGTGTTCTTTTGATGAGAAAAAAAAATGTTAAGAATCACTATGTCTGTACAATTTTTATGTTTTTTTTAGTAGAGTAATTAATGGTATAATGACTGTTTGTTATTAAAAAACAAATTAAAAAAATATTTTAAATTGATGAAAGTTGAAATATTAAAAAAATGGGTGAATGAAAATTTGTTCTATTCATAAAAAAAAGTAAATAAAATGATGATGTGAACTAAAACGATCAAATGAAGTGCAATCAAGAAGATAATTTTTTTATATTAAAAAAAATTACTAATATAAAAGTGGCTTAGTACCTTAGGTACAACTGCCGTTTGTGACTGAAGGTTGTTTTGTTACTATTGAAACAGTATTTTTATAATATTACCTTAGTTACATATTACTACCTAAATTAATTATATCACAGCATCTTTCCGTAGCCTAAATTTGTTAGCGTTATAATTGCATCGGTCTTGGTCTTGCACTTTGCAGGCCGGCTAACTGTTGCAAGACCAAAACCAAGACTGGTAAAAAAAAATCCCCTTTTTGAATAAAATTTAAACCAAAATAGTTACTAATACATGACAATTTTAGTTATTATATGGATAGCATCGGTAAAACCAATATACTTTTGTTTTTAACTCTTCTAGTTTTTCATTCGGGCTTAGTTTGGTTTCTCCTGTCTAAAAAATTACAGTAATATCTCTTTAGTAATAAACTAATAAGTAACTGCAAGACTGTTTCTAGATTCTTGTACAAGACCAAGACCATGGCCAAAACTGTGTTTGCAAGACCAAGACTGGTCTCGGTCTCGCATTTGGGCAACACTAATTGTAGTCAAGAAATAAATTTAAAATATTGTAATATTTAAAACTAATGTAATACACACTTGATAATCTATACGACGATATGGTAAATTAGGACTTGTCTGTAATGGAAAACTTAAACTTTAAGTTAATAACAAGTTACTAATCTTCAAGAAAGCTTTGACACCTATTCTGGATCTAATAAAAAATAAATACTCTAAAAACTAGAGCATGACGACTTTCATAAATAATTAAGTCCGATGAAAATATTAACAGAAAATTTGAATAAGAAATTCATAGTGTTTTTATTATTTTGCCATATTTGATGTACATGCATTTGTTTCTTGTATCTTCTGCATTAAATTAAACAGGTAAAGTATATAATTGAATTTTTATGAACCTGGGAAAAGATTGGATCGAATAGCTTGTGACTAACATCGTACATCAGGGCACATGTCATGATTCCTATGATAAGGGTGTTACAAATAAAAAAGCTCTTCATTTTATATGCAGGTCCAAAACCACGCTTTTTATTTATTTTCCATACCGAATTTCCGAGAATGAAATCCCTTGTACTTTACAGCCTCTATTTACATTTCTTAAATCAAGGAGCACCTCCGTTCTCAGGCGTGGAGGCAGGTAGATTTATAATTATGATATCAGGAAAGGTAGAATAAGACCAAGTCCGATGATAGATGAAATCATTAAGTTGTATCAGGCCCGAGGTGGGCCGGCGCATAATTCTCGACGGGAGAACGTTTTAATGGCCATTAGGGCTCAGGTAGATGATAATTAATGTTAAGTAACTTATAGAGTTGTTCCAGGGTCAATTCTCAGCTTCGGGGGAGGAGAGGGGAGGGGGAAAAGAGTAAAAAAAATATCTCTAGGCAGTTCGGTATGCTTTGTCGGTGGGCACATCATCGCGAAAAATAAGAAAAAAAAAAGTATATAGAAAGAAAAGAAAAAGAAGAAAGAAAAAAAGAACTCCTTTAAGGGTGAAAGAGGAAAGGAGGGTAGGGAGGGGTAAGAGGGGAGGAGAAGGGGCTGGAGAGACAGGCTGGTGATTTATTGGTTCGAGAACGGCGGCCATAATCTGGCCGTCGCCATGGTAACGGCCAATGGGAAGCCTGCCCCCGCCCACTTACGTCCAACATCAGTCTCCTTCCTTCACCCCCACCACTCCTCTCCCCTTCCCCCTCCTCCCTCCTCGTCAGTCTCTGCAAAACAATTAAAAAGGGAGCAACTGCTCTCGGCACACAACACATTGTCCAGCTCGTTCGCCGCCCAGATTTGTAAACATATATTCCGCTCTGTTATTGTCTTGTTAACAAGGTCCGCTACCTATGCGACCATTACCATTCATCCGAATATAAACTCGGATTTATTTGCTGTGGAAAAGGTTTTCCCTCTCAGTGTTTTCACGGGAGGAAAAACAAATAACGTGGGCAGAAAATAATCAAAAATTATTATTTATTTGCTTCTGTTATTTCATAGTGTTTATAATATAATACCTCTTTTTTTACCACTTTAAACAATTATCTGATTTTTTAAATATTTTGTATATAGTATGTATAACTAGTATTTTCTTTACTTATTTCTCTTTATTTTTACTTTTATCGTTTGTTTTTGTTTGGCCAGATATAATATTTTAATTTTGTACTTTCTTGTTATTCTAAAGGGGCTTCGTCCCAGAATAAAATTATTTTCTATTCTATTCTATCTATCCTCTCATTTACAAAAACAAAAGCTAATTAAATATAACAAGGAAATATGGTATAGTAATTTCTTGAAAAATGAAAAAATCATTTATATTTTACTGAATAAAAAATTAAAATAAGATTGTCTCAATTTTTTTAATGTTATGAATGCACTCAAAGCCTCCGTTTCACATGAAAATAGTGAGTATCACAGAGAACTATATGGACGCCTTCATGTCAAATACCCAGGTGTCATCAGTATTTTTAGAAAATTGAGAAAAAATGTTTATTATTTATTTAAAATTTAAACCAATCCCCATTTTTTTAAAATACATTTTCAGTACATTTTTGAAAATAAAGAATACTGATTATAAATGGTTTAAACTGAAGCTTTTAAACAAAATTGCTTGTTACTTAATTTTTACAAAGTACAAGGAGTTTTGCGAAACCGAAAATATTAATTGAAATTCAAATTCATTATTATTTAATAGTGACCTATACACAAATTAAAAATAAAGTGCTGATTACTTTTAATATTAATATAATCACAATTCTAATATTCAAATGATTATTTTTTTTTTCTAAATATAAGTATGAGTATTGATGTATTTCGTTTGTTTCATTGAATTAAACTGGAATTGTTTTTATTAAATAGCTTTTATTTATAACAATACCTGCTAAAAATAAAAAATCTAGTGCGGTGCACGCATAACACAACTTTCATTCACCATCCTCCTGTTATCAGAAATGAGTACTTTTAGAGAAAGGGGAAGTGAAAGTAAAAATTATAAGCGCTAAAATGATTTATATTTCCTTGTGGGTATTTTGATTTGTATAAGTAACTTTATATATAAAATTTTTAATATTTATATATCTATAATCTTTACAATTAAATATTAAATAATACAAACAATAGCATTTATGAAAACCGGCTATGTACTCGTATATGTACATAATATTGCCATAATTCTTATTATATTTAGCTCTTGTTACGTATGCAAGCGTCTGGTTCGCTTTCTATTCTAATATTTCGGGTGTGCTCGTATTCTTTTAGTTCCTCTATTACAAATTCGTTATGATCTCTTATTTCTCCTTTAGTTAATTATCAAATTCTTTCATATTTTATATTTAACCATCTTTTATATTAGAGATGAAATGTGAAATGGTCAATTGTATAAAAAAAAAAAAATAAATAAAGGTTCTTTAGGGGAAGCTAATGTTGAAAATTAGCCATTTAAGCCCTGTTGGAGAATATCAATAAGAATGATACCTACATTTTATTTAAAACTGCATAATTTTATTAAAAAAATTTACATTGATATTATGAATTTAATCAAAATCGTTATACCGTTTTCGATAAAGTCGTAAAAATGTGTTTAGTCCATTATTATAAAGTGCCACTTCCAGTTAACTGATTTTGAAAAAAAAAGTTTCTGTAACATCCCAAACACATAAAAACCTTAAATATACAATTTCACTTTCGTACGACTATTCGTTTTTGAGCTAGACTGTTAACACACAGAGACCATTTTGCGGGACTTGGTTATTTCGACTCCTGAGTTGGTTATTTCCCCTGAGACCTCAAAACATATATTTCCGTTGAAAGCTCAGATTCGAAAATTTTCACGATCACTATTCTTTCCCTTAGTATATAATTCATATATAGGTAACTGAAAGTAAAATATCTAGTAATTACTATTAAATAAATTATTCTTATACATCCGAAAATGAATCCTAAATTATTCGTAGTATTCGGCTGGATATGTTATACCTGTATGATTTATATTATTATTCTTATACATCCGGAAATGAATCCTAAATTATTCGTAGTATTCGGCTGAATATGTTATACCTGATATACATGATTTATATTATTATTATTATATATGACGTGAAATCTAATACGGCTAATTATTTAGTGATAAAAAAATATGCCTTTATATAAATGGCGGAAGGTAATTTCTTTTCATCAAATTAAAATTAAGATGAAAAAATGTATTGATTATATCTCGGAAGACATGTATCATTTCTGAAATGGGACGGAAATTTAAAACTATATAGTTTACAACTAAAGAACTTAGTTATAACTAAAGAACTTGGTTACTCAAGTACCAAAAATAAAATAATTGGTTTGTACTATTTTACGATATACTCGTATGTTTACATAAGAGGAAAAATTTGAGCATTTACTGGTCACTGAATAATTAAAATCTAATTATAAAGAAATTATAGAAAATATATTTCGATAATATTAAATAAAATTATTAAGCTAAAAAGTTATAAGCTGACGGTTTTGAAGACGACTTTAAAATTTTCAGATACTAATACGGTATCAATTTATATTAACACATTCTTTTTTGTGGGTATTACAATTTATAAATTTTTATCATGTCTTAATGTATAGATATACATTATTTATAATATTTTAGGTATTCAGCAGGTTTTCTACATTATTCCTTTCTAATGCTTGTTTCCTTACATTACAAGATAGACTTTACGATACATACTAAAACTCTATGGCCTTATTGTGCATAATGTTTTGTTTGCTTACCGCGGCTGAATTCAAACTGATTGGGCACTTAAACAAGGAAAAGAATTCCTGTTTCATTATAATACTTACGACTCGCAATGCAATGACAAAATAAATAAATATAGCAAACATTTGTAAATATTTTAGCCTACTATTAAAAAAATCTGGTGTATCCATTCACACGACTTCCCTACCTATTTCAGAAAAGTTTTATATCTTTACATGTGTCCATTGAGAACAAAAAAAAAAAATTGAATAACATATGTTTTTCTGAAAATTTAACAAAGAAAAGGTTTGAGTACAATTTATTAGATAAACTAAAGCGATGTAAAAGAGCTTGAGGTAGATCAGTGTAAAAATGTCAATACTCTCTAATATTAATGATTAAAAGCTTTTTTCCATAGCCTAATTTTGTCACACAATTATTTCTGTTAAAAGTGGAGGAAATAGGAAAGCTTGTGTGATGTGGGCAACAGATTTTCTTACTTCCATTTAATTTTTTTTTTCCCTCTTTCACCCCTTTCTGACACCAGCATAGGAACCCGTAATCTTCTTATAGATCCGTCGAAAACCGCAAATCGGAAATTTTACCCCATCGCAATACTTTCCTTACCTAGGTAGGAAAGTAAAAAAAAAATTATCAAATATAAAGATAATAAATTGGTATTACTTCATTTTGAGCTACATAAAAACACACCTATTCAAAGGTTTTTTCTATATTTCTTTACCACAGGGGTAAAGAACACTATTTCCATTTTTTTTATTTATTCAGGCCAGCCCAGGTTTAATAACTTTGAGCTACTATAATTTGTTTCTAAATTTGTACCCCGAAAGTAAAAGACAACCTGTTACATTTTTGTATTTGTATTTTGTATTTTTGTATTTTCCATACATTTATGCAATTAAAATTGTTTTCTTAGTTACTAAATTACTAAATAAAACAGTGGACATTTTGTCCTTTACATCCAGGGCACAGATTTATTCCACTATTTTTATTTTTTTACTCTGGCAAATAAAAACAAAATGGTGGAAAAATTAAAATATATAGTTATTATTATTATTATTAAATTTTGTAATAAAATAGCCTTCTATATGTTTGTGTTAATATTGTTGTACTTTGAATATATAGAAATACTATTTGAAACCATAACAGAAATATCATTCAATAATTACTCATTAAAATAAATAAAATAATGATTTAGTAACGTTGGTAGGAAAATACAATAAATTCAATGATTAAAATCATGCAATTTGTAAAAGAAATAAAAGTGTTCAAAGGATTGTAAACGTTACAAAGGAATGGTGCCCCAGCCTAATGTAGTGGTACATGGCACCATAATGTTCAATAAATATTCATTATAAAAATAATTAAATGTCGAAATAATTTTGAAAACTCGCTACTTTGTAAAGTTTTCTATGCTGGTATACTTAATAACTTTATTTCTTTTCGAAAATATATTTATATTTACGATGCAAGCTGATCCATTTAAATTAATCCATTTGTAGCCCATAGAAACAATTTAAAGACACTGTCAAACCAATTTTGTTCATTCTGAATTATGCTGATATTGTGGACTTTTTCAATTAAAAATTATATACCTATATACAATCAGGCAAGGGAACTCCAGGAGAACCCTGCGCTATTCCCTCAACCACATCACTGGTACTAAAGCCAATTATGTTTATGGTAAACTTAAATTATCAAATATAGAAATTCGTATTCTTGCCTATCCTATTTTAATTACAGGAGTAAAAATCCAAAATATGCATTATTCAATCGAAATAGTTTAATATTAGATTATCCCATAAGTTCTTTTCTTTTCCTTTATTTGTTGTTTAAGGTTGAATTATTGTGTTATATATGAACCATTCTGCTCTTTACTTTCTTCCATATCTCAGGAAGCTTCTTACACCATGTTTTCCAAAATTGGTGGGACTTGCAAAATGTTCATCATGATGCGTTTTTCATGCGTTTTATAAAAAAATTCGTCACACAAATTTCACATACCACTCTACTTTGAACAAAAATTATATTCTG